CCGAATGACCCCCCCCCCCCAAACTATTAGGAAGGGCAACATTTGAACTAGTCAGTGCTTTTGTATTATTACTGTGGAAGTTTAACTGATGTTCCATATAAGTTGCTATAGTTACATATGTGTCATCGGCCCAATATAGGACACTTCTTCGTGGAGTATTATTGGAAGTGATTTAAAACAGAAATACAAAAATTGTACCACCAGGGATAAAAGGTGGACCTTCTTTAATCAGGGGGCGAAAGGCTTATCTTTAGAAAGGTGGACCTTCTTTAATCAGGGGCGAAAGGCTTATCTTTAGAAAGGTGGACCTTCCTTAATCAGGGGCGAAAGGCTTATCTTTATGAAGGTGGACCTTCCTTAATCAGGGTTAAAAGGCTTACCTTTAGAAAGGTGAACTTTCCTTAATCAGGGGCGAAAGGCTTATCTTTAGAAAGGTGAACCTTCCTTAATCAGGGTTAAAAGGCTTACCTTTCGAAAGCACTTGGGTTATTATTATTTTTTTTTGTCTTCAATTGACCTTTTGAACCCGCACGTTTTCCTAACATTACGAACAAGAAACGTTTGTCACTGACGTCACCAGCTATGTATTTGAGTTGACTCATTTTCTTCTTTTTCTCCGTTTTGACAAATGTGGTAAAAAAAAAAACGGATTCTAAATAAGGGAGGAGGAACCCGGCAACGCTTTCACAGACATTGGCACATGTGGATCTGGGAGTTTGGAAAAGTTAGCTCATACAGCTGTTAACTAAGTTTCGGGTAACAGGCTAAGAAACTCGTGACATTTTGACAGGAAGTGGGAGACTTTCCGGCTCACAGTCTTAGGTGTTGTCTCGCTTTACTTACGACATGGACACGTGGCGTCTGAGAAGGAAACACACACACACAGCAGAATTTCAGAGCCTACTTTTAAAAACGCACGAGAGCTAATTATGTATGATATCCAAGATTGTTGTTAACACAGATTAGCAGTTTTGTTAGTGGCATATTTGTACAGTTGCTAATCAACGTGGAGGAATTTAGCGATCGGTTTCGTGTGTGCGCGTGTCTGGGAACCCAAAAAAAGAAAACAAAAAATGGCTTCCATGAATAACACGATTCCAAATAAGTGTGTGTAAAGCACTTTTAAGGTCACGTGATCCTCTTTTCTATTTCACGAGCACGCTTTTGTTAACGAGTTTTTATTAACTTTTCTGTCAGGATTTATTTGAATATTATTAATTATTATTTTTCAGTCTTTCATATTGTTACTACTGAATACTTTAACACTAATAGTTGTTTCGCGGGCTCTTGAGTGACTAAATTCTGTATCTCGTGTACTGGAAGTCGGAGAAAAATTAGTTTTTCAGTTATCATCACTGAGTCGGGCGTGGCCTAATGGTTATGCGCGTCGAACTGGGGACAGAAGGGTCCAGGGTTCGAGACGCGATGTAACAGATAGTCTCGTTAGGGTTCTTTGTGGTGGCGGATGGTGCTAGCTAACTCCCATTTCTCTGGTCAGTAATTCAGCCAAAGTTAAAGACTGCTATATCCGATCCCTGGCCGTTTAGCTCACGCGGTGTATAAGTATTCCTTAAAATTTAGACACGTGGTCTTTAAGTTTCAGTATTAGTGACTAACTAATACATGTTGGATAGAAAAACAACAACAAAAAATACCTTTACTAATTTACTAAATAAAAAAACAAAATTTAGTGAATTTTTTGATTCCAAGAAGATGTAATTTTGTTTTTGAATTAAAGAGCAAAAAAAAAATTTCAAGATATTTATAGGTCTTGCTATTATCATTATCTTTGGATCGATGGAGCTTAAACTTTGTTTTTTGTTGTTGTTTTTTATAGGTGAAAGTCAACATTTTCAAACGGATTTTCAGCATGGTTCAGAAAACATTGTGTCGCCCGCGGCGCCGTTGTTCACTCGTCGGAAAGAAAAGTCCGTCGATGGTTACCATGACAACGTTCTACCCCAACCCGTAAAATCCGACGACGATTACCATGACAAAATACTACCCCTAACAACAAAATCTGACGATGGTAACCATGAAAAAACATTATCTCAAATAACAAAATCTGACGACAGTTGCCATGACAACACATTATACCAACCGACGAGTATCAACGAAGTTGATGTGAAGTTGCTGGATTCCGAAATCGCCATTCTTCCCGGTAAGTGTTTGTTTGTTCGTTTTTTTAATTTCGCGCAAAGCTACACGAGGGCTATCCGCGCTAGCCGTCCCTAATTTAGCAGTGTAAGACT